GCCTTTATGTGGCCTTCTCCTCTGTGCTTGATCTTCTCTTCTGTCGGCTATAAGGACACTTTTCTCTGGAAATAGGCCCACCCACTCAATCCAGGATGATCTCATCTCAAGATCATTAACGTAATCACATCTGCAAAGACTCTTTTTCCTAACAAGGTCACATTCCCAGGTTCTGAGGCATGGGCACATCTGTTGGGAGGCCACTGCTCAACCCACAATTTCAAGGGTTTTTCATCATTAGGCTGTTGTGATTCTTTTTCTCTCTACTGGGAGCACTTTCCTCTCAGAATAGAGAATTAAACTCATCATTCAGGTCTCACGTGAGAGATATTATACTTTCCTGACGTAGTGCCTCCCTGGCCATCTTACCCCAAATGATCTCCCCTCCTTACTTACCCTCATCGTGCTGTTTATTCTCATCACAGCATTCATCGAAGTCAGATTTTCAGCTCATATATATAATTTTAAAGTGTTATTTTTTTAAAAGGAGGAAATAATCACAATTAAAGCAAGCTGAAGAGCATTTGAAACTCAAATCACATGACCAGAATGGACTGTAAAGCTTAGTTCTTTTTTATTTCCTGCTTACAAAGAGATCTAAAAACATGTGACCAGGTTCCATAGGCAAGTTCCTACCCATATAATCAAGAAAGGAAGAAAAGTGAGGAAATAAAGAAAAATCATTCATTAACTATTGTCTATTTAAAGCATATCATGTCCTTTTTATGCCACTTGTAACTAGGCAAAAGAAAGCTGCTTTGGAGCTAATATTTAAGATACCTTAACATAAAATGTCCCCAATTAATAAAAGGGTATGAAATTTGATTGTTTTTAACAGTCTTTTTAGGGTAAAAAAATAATAGTACCCTGTCTCTCAGAAGCGGGAGTGTGAAATACACCTGGAAGCCATTAAGAAGCCTTTTGTTATGAAATGCTGACACAGCCCTGGTATCAGTAAATAGTATATCATTTTACTGCAGATATTCAAGGCCTATAGCAATTCAACAGAAAATTAATCAGGATCACCTCGCCATACATCTCAACAGTATTAGCTAAATGCCAATTTTGTAATCACTTTCCATTAAAGCCAAAAATACGAATTAAAATTGATTTTTGCCTGTGCTTTGGTCAACGGCTGCCAATTAATGCTTGCAGTTGTAATGCAGACCTTTACTTAAATTAATTCTGTATGTTGTCTCCGTTCTGTTTATAAAGATAATGAAGTGTGAAAGGATAAGAGAGGTTGGTGCAGAAAAGGGCACTTCACATGCAGGAAGAACAGTGAAACACAAAGGATTCTGGGGCCTTTGCTAACATTAGCTCAACCATACTCCTTTATAAGCAGTTGTTTAATATGTTATTTCATATGAAAAATTCAATAAAGCCTCTAAACATATAAGTGATAAGAATCTATTCTTACAAGAGATTTAAATAATTAAATGACATTATTTTTTAAAGATTTTTCTGAATAAAGTCATATTCTTATTTGTGTAATGTGACCCATTTTTAAAAAGCAAGCCCATGAACTTGGCCCATGTTTGCAGGATCATTTGGAATTAATCGACAATAACTTAGGTTTCAATAAATGTTCTATAAAAAGTGATACCTATATAAATGTCAAGTCTGTTCATTAGAGCTAAATAGAAAAATAACAAACCAAAAATCTTTTCAAGGCTAATCCACAAAGGCTTTAATTGTCTTTTAACTTTTTAATTAATAAAAACCATTAATATGGTACCAAAGTTGAGGGTGTTTTTTTTGTCAGGATGGAATAGATGAAGATGAGAAGTTGGGTTTTCCAGTAAGTAGTAAGGGATACTGAGTCACTTACAGTCAGGTTCTTTGAAGAGCCAAAAATTAGAACCAGAAGCCAAATAGGCAAAATCTGAGTTCTAGATTTGTATAGATAAAATTCTAAGATCCCTTAAAAGGTAGGAATACATCCCTGGCTGATTTGGCTCAGCGACTAGAGCATCAGCCTGTGGACTGAAGGGTCCCCTGTTTGACTCCAGTGAAGGACACATGCTCGGGTTGTGGGCTCCATCCCCAGTAGGGGGCGTGCAGGAGGCAGCAGATCAATGATTTCTCATTAGTGATGTTTCTATCTCTCACTCCCTCTCCCACTCTGAAATCAATAAAAATGTGGGGTTTTTTAAAAAGGTAGAAATACATAAATGGTGTCCAAATTCAGAAGCCTGCATGGAATTTCTACCATTTTCTATAGGATTTTGTGTCCTTGCGACTTTTACTTCTTACTCCCAACTTCACCCCTAACTATTACAACTACAGATTACACTTTCTATTCCATTCTCAGACAAGCTCAAAATACATTTATTCTTAAGATGTTAGGAAGATAGCAATATTAATAAACAAGTATACCCTGAGAGTTAATAAATAATAGTTGTAAATCTCTCAGGTTTATTTGCAATGTGTTAACATAAAAGAATTATGTATGCCCTTGACATTAGGGCAGCATAAATCCTGACCAATACGAATCCCCAAATCAGAATTGTCACTATACCAAATAGCTTGTATCTCAATATGAGATATAATATGACTGAAATTTTCAGTTTGGACCAGGAGTTCATAACAAGAAAGTCATCTGGGGCTCCCCGTAAATTCATCTATGATCTCTTTATTCAAGTATATTTTGCTTACATAGCTAGGATCATATTTTAGATTCTGATTTTCAAACATCACTAGAAGAATATTCAAACATTCTACAGTTACATGACATGAAGAGGGGACTTATGATTGGTGTTTGTCAGACATCCTCCATATGTAAGAACATTATTTGTTAAAGATCCTCAATATCTAAAATTCCTCCAAACTTACATCGTTATTTTACATTCATCTTAATGATACAGAAACAAGTCAGAAAATATACAGTGGCCATTACATTGTTCTATGCAGCTCTAATCTGAAGTGTGTGTGTGTGTGTGTGTGTGTGTGTGTGTGTGTTCAGTAATTTTCCAAGCAGTGTCCCAATAGTGTAAATAATTTAGTAATTGTTAGCAGGCATTTTGCCAGTTATTTCAAGTGGTCATAAAACAAAGAAAGAGATTTCATATCATTAAAACCACGCTTCCTTGTCACTAGAAATAGAACTAAACCGTTAAATTGAGGTGAAATATAGAAACAACTTTAATCTCCTTGAAAAAAAAATCCACGTAAAACTATAACATCCAACAGACTTCCTGAAATTGACTAAAGAAACACCCAGAGTGAATTTCTAGAATGACAGCACTTTTCTTGAATTTATAATTTGTATTGACCATTCAAATACCTGAGGTTAATTTATGGTCTATTTGTGTTTGATTAGATGTGAGATATATCTCCTGAGCCCTTAGATACTTGATATTGTCTTTCTGTTGTCAAAAAACAAAAGGAAATGAAGAACCTATAAAATAGTAAACATGTGGGCAAATATAAAAGATAATTTAAAAGAAAAGTTATATTTTCAGCCCTCTGCTAGTAAATTTCACTCCCTGTAATGTTGTAAAGGTCCAAGCATAACTTAAGGTATCCCTATCTCCATCTTAATGTAGGGGGTTGGTAAAAATACATCTATCTAGAGATGACTGTTTCATCTGAGATGACGTACTGTGGTATAGCAACGAGGTCTCTCTGAATTGCCTGAACAATGAGCCCGCTGATACCATCTCTCCCCTCCTCTAGCCAAAGAAACTATACCTAACTCCAATGACCACATTACCAGTGTCTTTCTCCTCTCTGGAGAAGGGATTTCAACTTTCTATAGAATTCCCTCACTCCCCCACCAAAGAATCTCAGTATTGGGCTACAAATTTTCCCAGACAATTTATGCAAACAGTTGGTTTCTAAAGCCAGACTTCCTGGCGACTCAGTAGGCTGTGTGCCCATTGGCAATATTGCTCTCACAATTGCCCTATAACAGTGATGACGAACCAATGACACAAGTGTCAGAGGTGACACGCAAACTCATTTTTTTGGTTGATTTTTCTTTGTTAAATGGCATTTAAATATATAAAATAAATATCAAAAATATAAGTCTTTGTTTTACTATGGTTGCAAATATCAAAAAATTTCTATATTGTGACATGGCACCAGAGTTAAGTTAGGTTTTTTCAAAATGCTGACACGCCGAGCTCAAAAGGTTCACCATCACTGCGCCTATAAGAAGACACAGTGATTTCTACCTTGGACCATAGGAAAAGGGGCAGCTGAAGGAAAGGGCTGTGTCAGGATGCTGCCTTCTTCCCTTTCTTCTCCTTTTTCTTTCTAAACACTTCCATGCCTTGTAGTTCTTTTGCTTTCTCTTCTTTTTCTCTCTACTACCCTCCATCTCCGCCTCCTCCTCCTCCTCCCGGGTATCTTCCATATCAGCCAACCCAGAGGGCACAGCTGACTCCTCTCCGGACACCGACACCACCATCAAGCGCGGCCCTGATGGACCCTTTGATGCAGCCCTTCAACTCGCTGACGCTTCGGGAAGCCCATCACCAATGACGCGCTAGCCAGATCAACAAGGACAACCAAACCCCCGACTTGAGGACAGCTGAAATCCTTCACTGAAGAGGCCAGCAACCTTCTACAGGAACAAGGCTCCTTGTGCGCTCCATCCACTATGTTTATAGCTATGCTCGCTATCATTGCTTGTCAGTCTTCTTCCGAGTCTTAAACAACCCAATCCAAGAGGTGGCCGCTGATTTACATGCTAGCGAGAGAACAGAACCTGGCTACAGAACTTGGCTGGAGAACATAGAACCTGGCTCAAGAACCTGGCTACAGAACCTGGCTGGAGAACCTAGCGAGAGAACTAAGACACAGAACCTGGCTGGAGATCCTGGCTAAAACCTGGCTAGGTTGCTGATCAACTGAACGCTGCCTCTGTGTCATTCCTTCTTTGCCGACTCCGTCCATACCTTTGGGAACCCCTGGACCTGCTGGGGCAGGACCCCAACAATTGGCGCCCACGCCTACAGGGCACATGCACAGAGGCCAGCCCCCAGCTATTTTCCTCCATGGCGAGCGGAAGGGCTTGGGAGCGCCAGTTCCACCTGTGTGTTCGAGTGGACAAAATGGTGAAGATTGCCAAGACTCATGAAGATATCGAACACAGATTCAAGAAATTCAAGGCAAGAAGGCAGCTCTTGATGAAGCTCAAGGAGTGGGCCTTGATTCTACAGGTTATTATGACCAGGAAATATATGGTGGAAGTGACAGCAGATTTGCTGGGTATGTGACATCAATTGCTGCAACTGAACTTAAAGATGATGATGATGACTACTCATCATCTACAAGTTTGCTTGGTCAGAAGAAGCCAAGATACCATGCCCCTGTGGCATTGCTTAGTGATATACCACAGTCAACGGAACAGTATGATCCATTTGCTGAGCACCAACCTCCAAAGATTGCTGACCGGGAAGATGAATACAAAAAGCACAGGCGGACCATGATAATTTCCCCAGAGCGTCTTGATCCTTTTGCAGATGGAGGGAAGACCCCTGATCCTAAAATGAATGCTAGAACTTACATGGATGTAATGCGAGAGCAGCATTTGACTAAAGAAGAGAGAGAAATTAGGCAACAACTAGCAGAAAAAGCTAAAGTTGGAGAACTGAAAGTCATCAATGGAGCAGTAGTGTCCCAGCCTCCCTCAAAACGAAAATGGGATCAAACAGCTGATAAGACTCCTGGTGCCACTCCCCAAAAGCTGTCACGTTGGAATCAAGCAGAGACCCCTGGACATACCCCTCCCTTAAGATGGGATGAGACACCAGGCCATGCAAAGGGAAGTGAGACTCCTGGAGCAACCCCAGGCTCAAAAATATGGGATCCTACACCAAGTCACACACCAGCGGGAGCTGCTACTCCTGGACGCGGTGATACACCAGGCCAGGCAACACCAGGCCATGGAGGCGCAACTTCCAGTGCTCATAAAAACCGATGGGATGAGACCCCCAAGACAGAAAGAGACACTCCTGGGCATGGAAGTGGATGGGCTGAGACTCCTCGAACAGATCGAGGTGGAGATTCAATTGGTGAAACACCCACTCCTGGAGCCAGTAAAAGGAAATCACGTTGGGATGAAACACCAGCTAGTCAGATGGGTGGAAGCACTTCTGTTCTGACCCCTGGGAAAACACCAATTGGCACACCAGCCATGAACATGGCTACCCCTACTCCAGGTCACATAATGAGTATGACTCCTGAACAGCTTCAGGCTTGGCGTTGGGAGAAATTGATGAGAGAAATCGCCCACTTTCTGATGATGAATTAGATGCTGTTTCCAGAAGGATATAAGGTACTTCCTCCTCTACCTGGTTATGTTCCTATTCGAACTCCAGCTCGAAAGCTCACAGCCACTCCAACACCTTTGGGTGGTCTGACTGGTTTCCACATGCAAACTGAAGACAGAACTATGAAAAGTGTCAATGACCAACCATCTGGAAATCTTCCCTTTTTAAAACCTGATGATATTCAGTACTTTGATAAACTTTTGGTTGATGTTGATGAAT